ACTCTACTGCTGGCAGTTGAACTTTGAGATGTCTGTGTGACAACTCAACAAATTTCATTAAAAACAAAAAAAAAAAGGAAACCTTGCGATGCTCTGAGCAAAGCCTATCTTCATTGTGCTGTTCTCGGCCCCACCATACACCAGCCGCAGCATTGCAGCGGCCCTAAGGCCACATTTGCACTTGTGCATGTAAATGAGTTGTTTACACTGTCATTTATTGTCATTTATTTTCAATTTTACATATACCTGCACAAAACAAACACACCTGAATCTCAGCTCTTGGACATGTGCTTTTGGACCATGGATATGCGTTGGGAGCCCACTGAAAATGAATGGTCACACTCAATGCAGTGCACATTAACATAATAGAAACACATTCAGAAGTATAGCTTGGCCATTAATCTGGCATGTTATCCTACATCACAAAATTTCTATCAGTACATTTTATTCACATAGTACCAAGAGCAGTACCCCAATTGTCAGCTGTGCAGTCACCCCAATTGTCAGCTGCAGTTATCCAAGTTGTCAGCTGTCCATTTTGATTTGAATAGTAAAACTGTCATTGGTTACATATTTTACTGAGCTAGTAAAAATATCTATGTGCAGCTCAGACCAAAAACACATAAATGATTCATGAAAAGCTTTTATTAATTAATGTGGCTCTTTCTGAACGTTCCCTAACCCCGTGCTGGTTCATTAGCTAATTTTTCCGAAAGCGTTGTGTTTGCTCAGGTCAAGGTTTAATGTGGACCACATTAATGACCTATCTGTCTGCTTCTCCATTCAGGAATTCACGGCATTTTTGTTACTTTTATTTAAAATATCTTTGCTTTTACATTTCCCTTCTCAATAATTCAAGCCTCTTTCATGAATTTTGCATTGCAACTTTTGTGTCATGAGTAGGTTGGAAAAGACTACAAATGGGTTTTATCCCCTCTTGTTTTTCAGGACAATGTCATAACGTTTATATTGCAATTATTTTAATAAACATTGAGGGCCAGTTCACACTACATGCATGTTCAGTGTGCTTTTTTTCTGCATCCGAAATGCACAGAAAGTAGGTTATATGGTTGTCAATGTTACAGTTCACATCAGTGCTTGCAGTTCCTGTGTGTTCCAGAGGCAGAAAAAAGTAGAACAGGCTGCATTTTTCCTGCACAGAACTGTACTGGAACGCAGTAAGACTCATCAAAAACACACTGGAACGCACATATCCCTATTTAAATTGAGGAAAAAGAGGGGGGAAAAAAACGCACCGGAATGTGCCAAAAATGCATATGCAGAAACGCATCCGGAATGCGTTTCTATAGTGAACCAGCCCTGAGTCTTGGTTCACATTACTGTGACCTGAAAGTCACGTGACTTACAGTGTGACTTTGCCAGGCAACTTGAGTACTACTTTAAAGCGACTTTGAATCAATTTGGAAGCAACTTTCAGGGGATGCCTGGGTAATCTCCCTGTAATGTCAGGTCCAAATCACATCACTATAGATGAGGATCCAACTTGGAGGTGATGTCCATTAAAGTCTATGGGCACAAGTCGGATGGAAGTTGCCTTGAAGTAGTACAGGAACCTTTTCTAAAGTCAAAACAACTTCAGTAGTGCTAATTAAGACAGCTCTCATTGACTAACATAGGATTTCACATGTCATGCGATTTGGGATCACACAAGTCAGATCCCAAGTTGCGACAGTGTGAACAGAGCCCAACAGATTCCTACCAGCTCCTTTTCCTGAGAAAATATAGTTGTTAGTTTCTTTAAAATTCCTAGTCACCTGTAGGAAATGAGTTCAATCCAGTAGTGAGTTTAAAAGTTGGGAGTACTATTCAGTCAGGGTCTACACCTCAGGTAGAGTATTACACTTTGGGAAATATAGAGAAAAAAGGGAAGTGCGCTAGATAGTGCAGGTAAGATATTTATGGAATTGGAGCAGCGCACCAGCCAGGACTGACAGGGCATCATTTACACCAGTAACATCAAAACTTAGTGGCCATCCAGAAAACAAACAGACTGTGCGGAAGCACAGCACATAGTCCAATGCAGTGGTAGAGTAAACATGATCACTCATGTGCTAGAAGATATATTGCAAACTGTAAAATAACGAAGTACAAAGTGCAACATGCAATAATAACACCACCACACTAAAAAGTGTGATAGTAATATTATATTAACCCCTTTACGCGGGCCGCACACAAATGTGCGGCCTCCTGGCATCTGGGCCTAGACGGTGAGCGACCGCACATTTGCGTTCAGTATACAAAATGCATATGTGCTGAGAGCACGCGCTCCCAGCACACATGTCCGGTACTCACGAAAAGGTCCCGGTCTCTTCTTTCGATTGGGACCTTTCCCGATCATGTGACCGCTGTGACGATGCGTCACGGCGGTCACATGATCCCTAAACCCTGCCCCCCCGCTTCTAAAACTCTTAAAGGGCCGGGAGACGTCGGCGTGAAGGGGTTAAGGAATCTACCAACTATATCCATTTATTTAATCTATTACTAAAAGTATTAAACATAGAGGGAACAGACAATATAAAAATATATATTAAATTTAAAAAACAGACTATGCATAACCTTCAATGCATTAAAAAGTAATAACTTGTACAATAAAAAATCAAGAAGGTCAGATATAAGGACAAGGTATTGAGCATAAAGATCCAGAAGGTCTCTCTCATTGGGGCAAACTGTTTGGTTTTTGAATATTGCATTTGTACTTCTCAAACCTAATTCTGAAAGTTCTGGTGGTGCCCCGCCCGAAAGCAACCCCCCCATGTTGAGGGCATGTGGCCTGGTATGGTTCAGGAGGGGAAGGGGGGCGCCCCCACTTTCCCCCACGCCAAAAAAAAAATGGTGCGGGGTACCCCCCAAAATCCTTACCAGACCTGAAGGGTTTGGTATGGATGGAGGGGGGACCCTACATCGCTTTTTAAATTATTTTTTAATTGCCGGCAATCCTTTCTTTTACATTCAGCTGTCAGCGGGGAACCCCGCTGACAGCTAAAACATTAATGCATGGTTTTCACTACTAAAATACCGGATGACTTGATAAAAAATAGCTCATGCGGTATTTTAGTAGCATTTTTTAGTGAATTCAAACTTTTTTTTTTTTTTTTTTTAATGCTATGCGGTATCCTACCGCATACTCAGATGCGGTAAGATACCGTTTAGTAAATTGTTCCCAGTATCTATTGCATCATTTGTTGCTAGGTAAACTTGCCAAAAAACATGCAAATCTGCCCAATTTGAGCTACAAAGGTAGGTCCAAAACGTTTTTGAGCTTCAGGTGTTCTGGTTTAGGCGACTTGGAGTGGAGATGTGAACCATCTCCATAGAGAAATATTGATTTTTTTTTTTTTTTTTTTTTTTCCCCTCCTGAGCATTTTGGAGCTTCAAGCTTCGGGCTACAAATCTCTCAGGTGCGAATGCAGTCTAAGGCTGGCCATACATTATACAATTATCTGCAGATTTTTGGTTTAGATTTACCAAAAACCATATAATAGGAGGACAAACCTAAACAACACTTTCAGTTGTATCCAATTAGGCAGGCCCTTGCACAACATAGTTGAAGGTAAATCTAAAGGAAATTGGGCAGAAAATCTGCAGATAATTGTATAATGTATGGCCAGCCTAAGTCTGACTCAGTGGGGAAATGCTGCCGAGACACACCTGCTTTCACACATAGAGCATTAACGTGATTCTTAAGGATGTTGTTTTATGTAAATAAATAAATTATACATGCCTGCTCTGTGCAATAGTAGTGCACAGAGAGGTCCCATACCTCCTTTTCTGGAGTCCCCTGCTGGCAATCTACCCTCCTTCATACTGTTGCTGTGGAAGGCACCTCTGCAGGTGCACTCAACCCGGGTCGTGTGTATCCGTAGACACAAATAGTGTCCCCCACTCCCTCCTCATAGGATTTGACTGACCGCAGCAGGATCTAGGGACTGGTGGGGACCAATAGTGGGCCGTTTCCTACCTTAATGCATAAATTGCATTAGGTAATAATGCTTAAGCTTTAGAACAACTTTAATCCTCTATGCAGCATCTTGTTTTCCCACGAGTATTTGTGCTGCAGGTGAAAATTATTTGCAGGCCCTCCACAGAAATAAGACATTGCAAGAGGAGTATTATTAGACCCCTGTTATAACAAATGTTTGCAGTGCCTACACAGTATTCATTCACATTTATAATAATTTAATACTGTAGGACCTAAGTATTAAATTATTATTATAAATGTGAATGAATAAATACCCAGTGCAATGAAAACATACACAATACAAATAGTGATCAAAGTAATAAAGTGAGGCCATTAAAGGACCTCCACCACCATATCCAGTTGAGAGCCATTCTTTCATTGTATGGCCACACAACACCCCTTAGTGAATTGCACACTCACCAGAAATAAAAACCTACAAAGTGCACAGCAACACGCTTGCTCCCTCTTTTCCATACACATAAGTCTCTAACAATTTGTCCTCTCTCCTGAGATGTATGACATCATTTGCCTAGGCCTGCAAACCAGTAAGTAACTGAAGAAATGTAAGGAAAAAAGTATAAACCAAGTAAATTATGATATACATTCCTATCTATTTTTTAAAGGAGATTTTATTTCCTATCTGTTTACTAATGCTAGCAGCATAAGGATTAAAAATATCAATGTTGATTGAGGGAGCGAAGTTCTACTCTTAAATTAAAAGAAAAAAAAACTCTTAGACTTTAGAACCAGTTTAAGTCCTGTTGCGGGCTGACAACACAGTATTTTTATGAACTGAGTGTTGTCAGCCCTGGCCAGTATCTTTTGCTAAACTATTCAACCACTCTCATTCTCAGATCTCTACTAAGAAAGGCTAATCATTCTGTAGTCCAAAATAAGAACTAGGAGGGCTCTTTGAGATAACACGGGAAGCATACAGGGGACACAGGACATCTTTATTGTTTGAGTTTAAAAACAGTTTACGGTTTACTTTCAAATGTGTATTATGTGTTTTTTCTTGCAGATCTAAATACTTCAGAAACTGTTCAAGAGGAGAGCATTTTACTATTGAGGTTAGTGTCTGCCCAAAAAGACTGCTGTATATACTCACACATATATATATAATATGCATAGCTGGAAGCCTTCTGGAAATGGCCTACCAATACTGGTATTTAGCTCCGGTTGCAGGGTCATCACCAGGTTGCTTACATTTCTGGAATTTCTGTTGTGGAGATATAAAATCACAGCGTGTGACATATCCCTGAGTCATGTACTCTGCACCCTGGAAGTACCTGCTGTCTTTGGAGGATTAGGAGGAGGGAGAGGACTATGAGGAGGAACTATGCTTGCTACAAGAGGAGGAGGAGGAACTGTGCCTGCCACAAGTAGCAAGAAGAGCAGAATTAAAGTTGCCATCTGAGAGATAAGTGTTTGCATGTGCAGTTTGTATGTGTATGCAATGTTTATGTATGTGTATTGTACTGTATGTTTGTGTATGCAGAGTATATGTATTCTTTATGTATGAATACAGAACTACTACAGAGGCACTCATGGGTCTTGCAGAGGAGGTAGATCAAAAACAGCAGTACTTTTATTGTCCATGTTTCGATGAAGCTTAGTTCTCTTGAGAAAGATGGCTTGAGCTTCATCGAAATGTTGACCCTAAAAAACACTTTTGTGGGTGAGCACCTGGGCATTCATGTCAAACATATTGTGCCTTGGCTACCCTTGGATATGTTTTATGTACCGTACGTGTATGCAGTGCATATGTATACTGCATATTTGTTACATTCACCTGACCCCTGCACTCTGTGCATTACTCACTCCTGACCTTCCACACTCTCTGCATAGCACACTTAATCCCTGCACTGTGTATGTTACCCACCCCAGACCCCAGCACTATGTACATTACAGACTTCTGCACTTTGTATGCAGGCTCGTGTTTTAAGCCCCTCCCACTGTTAACTGCATTTTGCCAATCCCGCTATTCGCACTATTAGCCTCACCCACACCTAGCCCCCCATTCACAAGTATTCCGATTTTCAAAAATTCACTGATGCGGTAATGTGTGTGTCAGATCATCATGGCAAATAATCAGAGCTGTAATCTCACTCTCTGTAAAAAGTAGTTGTAGTAGTGGTAACTAACCTGGCCACTTTCATCGCTGTACCATTCCTTTTCTTTTCTCATTTGCTATTCCAATTTGGAACACATAGTTCTTTATTAAATAATATCACTATAGGCAGTAAGCAGCCAGGTGAAGAACCGACCTCTGGATCCAGGGTTAATAACCACCCCCACTAGACATTGTCCATGGCCAGTTCTACAACTAGAGCTGAGAAAAGGTTTTTACTAGGCTCAGTGAGTTAGCACTGCTACACACAGGGAGCAGATGTACTGGCCAGTGCTGATGTAAAAGAGTGGCTTGAACACTATTGGGCTACATTTGCATGGGCGACTAGCCTCAGTGTGAATGACTGCAGCTGTTTCAGCCACCAGTTGCTAGCTCTTGCCGGTGATCCCTGTACACTTCAATGACAGGTCAGTGGTGACCATCCGTGTTGATTGCTCTGGACGCACTGTGAGCTTCCAGCAGTTAAGTGGACAATCAGAAACCAGGGAAAGCAAAATGTAATCAAAAAAGCAGATTAAACTTCAGGTTTAAGGTTGAAAATATGAACTGTAGTTTTTGAAGAGTCTTTTTACAATATTTTAAGAAATATGTAGTCTAGAGCATCCTTTCTCAGGAGAAACCTTTGAAATAATTGTCTTAATTTAGGGTGCCCCTGGTAAAAATGACTATACCTGCAGCTCACAGTAGATAATGGTCATTAGAAAGTTGAAGAAAGTTTTAAAGAGAATCTGGCGTGTCTAGAGAAGCCATTCTCAACTAGGGTTCCTCCAGATGTTGCTAGGGGATCCATGAGCTCTGGTTGACCTCCCATCTGGTGGTGGCTGCATAGTTCTGGGGCTAGTACTATTTGGAAGAGCCAGAGACAAGCTATCGGTGATCTTTTTAGCTGTATGAGGGGTGGTATTGTGACAACTACTGTAAAGGGGCATTGTTCTCACTGGCAACCACTGTCAGGTGACTTTTTTCCACTGTCCCTCTGATTAATTGTTTTTAGCAGGGTTCCCCTAGCCACAGTTCTTATATAAATCATCCCTCTGAGGTAAAATGTTTGAAAATGGCTGCCCTATTGTATTTAACATCCAGGGCAGTTCATTTTTTGTTTTTCAAATCTTCCTGGCCAAATTATTTTCAGAATTCATCTTGAAATTAACAATAATAGAAAAGAAACAGACAGTGAAAATTGTTGGTGTCCCCTTGTATGGATGGTCAGTATAGAAATGACCCATTAGATAGATGGTCAGTGAAAAATTGCATTGGCAGTCAGTGTAGTTGGAAGAGCAGTCCACCACTGCCCAAGGTACCATTCGCAACCTCATGAGGAATGCTAGGGTTCCATGAAACCCTGGTTGGGAAAGGTTTGTTTTTTTTGATGTTCTATGCTGTCACCATTGTTTGTTTTTCCCTCTGTATAAAATTTTTCCTGTTAAAAAATGCATTGAGCCAAGAATAAGGCTAGAAATAATACTGTCCGTTTCATCTTCCATATAAGTACTGTTTGAGGTTAACAGGATATCCTGAAACAGACAACCTTTATCATGCATGCTATGATTCATAAGTGTTGTTGATATTGTATCTTTTTTTATATATATTTGGAGGTCTTAGGATGTTCATTAAAGCTCCGTTGACGCTAGTGCAACGTGCCATGCGACTTTATACACAGTCGCATGACAAATGACAAATCGCAGCCCATTGATTTCAATGGCACCCGTTTCAATCTTTGCAAATTAAAAGTTGAAGCAACTTTTAAAAGATTCCTACATTACTTTGATGTGACTTTTGTTGCGACTTGAGTGTCAGAGAGTGTAAAGCTGCATGAAAGTCATATTAATTGCATAGGAAATTGTGCGATTTTGGAGTCGCACTAGTGTGTACCGAGCCATAGAGTGGATAATTTTGAACATATTTAAAATACAAGATATGCATGTTTTTCAATTAACGTTAATAATTTATATTTTTATTTTCTTCTTTAAACAGTTTGAAAATCTTGTAGAAAGTGATGAGGTGAGTAGATTCTAAAATCTCTAAGGATACAGGCTAATGACAAGACTGTATAGTTTTGGAATCTCCGTCTTTGTGTAATTGCAGCTTTAATGCATTGTGTATTGCTACTCAAAAATTCTTGTCAATTAGCGCATTAGAGGAATATACAAATATAGTATATGTACATATATTTATATATATTCTTAGTAGAATTCTGGATCGTAAAGTGGATGTGTGGTTAATACTTGTACTTCACAGGGATGAATAAGCCAAATCAAATCATTGTTTTAAGTGGAAAAGGTACATTTGTTTTCGTGAATGTAAAGCAGATCATGTGATATCTGGCTACCAGGGATATAATCAGTGACCACATTTTAACACACAGGAATAAGATTTACATTAACCACTTGCCTACTGGGAACTTATACCCCCTTCCTGCCCAGGCCAATTTTCAGCTTTCAGCGCTGTCGCACTTTGACAATTGCACTATAAATAAAAAAGGGCAAAAAATTTGAAGAAAACAAAGTTTTTGTTTCTATTATAACATTTTGCAAACAGGTAATTTTTCTCTTTCACTGATGTTCATTGATGAGGCTGCACTGATGGGCAACACTGGGGGGCATTGATGAGGAGGCACTGATGGGCATTAATGAAGAGGCACTGATGATGCTGCACTGATGGTCACTGATAGGCAGCACTTATAGGTGGCACTGCCGGGCGACACTGATGGGTGGCACTGCAGGGAACTGATGATCAGTGCCAATCTCCTCTGTGACAGTGTGAGGAAAGTGCTGCCGATAACTGTCAACTGTATTTACTCCGTGATCTGCTGTGTCATTGGAGACAGCTGATCACGTGGTAAAAGGCCGCTGTGATTAGCCATTTACCTCATCACGTGATCAGCTGTGTCCGCAGGGCACAGCAATTACAGAGATTGCTGGGTGTGCACCCTGGGGGCACGCGGGAGGGCGTGTTCTGGGAGGATGTCATATGACACCCTTCCAGAACTGGGTAACTGTGCTGCATTCGGTTATAGAGCAGTTACCAAGTGGTTAAGCTGATATTTTACATGTAAAATGACTAGCCCCACCCCCCGTCCATCTCCCTTAAAGTGCTAATATGCTCTTCATTTCATATACATTGTGTACAGGTGAAAGTGGTCAGGCGACTCGTCTGCCACTGATCACTTCCACAGCCTGGTGTTGTTCCCGCCATGTATCCGGGCTCCGCATACCCCCATCTATGGGCTCGGGGAGAGCCTTGGCGGGTGGAGAAGAAAGCGGATGAGCATCTGCTCCCTTCCCCTTCTTTGTGTAACCTGGAATGCGACGTCTGTGATGTCACTTCCGGGTCACGGCTGTCACTTTTCCTGGCTAGAATAGCCTGGGAACAAAGTACTGCAATGTGGTTTGCATTGCAATACATCTAATGGAGCCCAGATGAAACATTCAATTTCTTTTAGACCCTGCACGTCTCAATAAAGAGAAGCTGCCACCGAAAAAAATCATCATATAGGGGACTTTGTGTCCCTTATGTGATGAAAAAAAAAATTTTTTTTGCAAAAAAAAAAAAAAAAACGCTATTCCCAAGCACATAACATAAAGTTACACGCAAGCCCACCGCCATCCCCAAATATACGCATGTACGAATGTAAATGCACACGTCGGGGCGCCTGTGTGTGAAAATGTCGGTTGTGACACACGTTACATATCGCCGTGCACACTGGAGTGAGAGCAAAAGTTCTAGCACCAGACCTCCTCCATAACACTAAACTGATGATCTATAGGGGCTTTTGAAGTGTTTTCTATAGAAAATATAGGGTACTGAAGTTTGACACAATTTCATAGGTGCACACAAATTTAAGGTTTGGCATGTTTGGTATCTGTTTACTTGGTACAACCTCGTCTTTTATATTTTTTCTGAAATTTGCAGTAATATCGTGTGACCAGTATTTTATTTTGTAGGGTGTCTGCTTTCCGAAAATATATAATGTTTTCGGGGTTTTGTGTAATCTTCAGGCCTAAAATGATTTTTTTAAACGTGTTTAAAAAAAATGCAAAAACGGCATTGGCAGGTGTAATTACAATAATCAGCTTTTATGTATTCATATAAAACCTTTATCCCAAAAGGAAAAAAACTGTTGCTGAACTGCTTATAAAATGTTTGCTGGAGTTTGTTATTGGATGTACATCTGCTAATCCATCTAACACACCCCTTCCCCCAGACTGACAATCCTGCTGTCCAAATATGCCGTCTGTACACATTCACTCCAACACTGGAGGTGTGTTACTGGCCAGATCACCAGGTGAAAACAGAGTAATAAAGGCTAATAAATGAAAACTTATGTAGCCACCACAGCTAAGGATTGGTAAGCTGCAACAGAATACATTTTTGGTTTTGGCTTTAATACCATTTTAAGCAGTCTGGGTTGCTATTGCGACACTACTACCTCAAACGTGTTTTGGTCAGTTCGGCACTGCTGCCCATGTTCTGGGTTTCACTATGCTGACTCCTTCTTTCTAACCTTCACTTATAAATTAAAAGGCATTTTACCTTCTCTGTAGATATGAACTTGAGGATGGGGTCCATACATATGTGGATTAAAGTTCCTTTTTTTTGCGCAGTATAGATGTCACTTTTATTATTACGCTTTATTTCCATCAGCTGATGTGATCTGATTTGACATTGTTAGAAAAATACAAGTCTTAATTTATTATTTTGTTTTACAGGGGGAAAGTCCAGGAAGTAGTCAGAGGTAAGAGATTATTCTTTTACAGTTTATTAAACCAAAATATAATGGCAATACATTATGTCGACTCTGGTCCTATCTAGTATTCCATGACTGCCATCAGCTCATGGTTTCCTAGATATCAGCCAGGGTACAGCTGTAATAATCAGTAGTGCATGAGGGCCCCTTCATACCTTATATTTTAACGCGCTGGTTCCCATTGAAATCAATGGAAGCACATGAAAATGCAAATCATCGTGGGTCATAGCATGTGTAGTAATTTGAGGCAAATAGGGAATGTTATAGCTTAATGAATTGAGCTTCTACTCAGTAAAGGAGTGTTCAAGAGGAGACCGAAAAATTTGAGGATATCTGATTTTTTTTTTTTTTTCGTTAATGTCCATTAATGACCTCTTTAAAAGCTCTCAGTGGGTGTCCTTGACAAGAGTGCAGATGGTGTCTAATGCTCATGGTCATCCACAAGATAAGTAATACGCAGAATCTAATGATACGTAATGGGTACAAAAGGACACAGATGTTAACACGCTCTCATACTGTAACACATTGAGGTTTATCACATCTTCCTTTCCAAGTTATTTTTGTAAAGAAACAAACTCTAACGGTATGAACTTTAATTTATGGCTGTAATTACTAAAAGATCTAAAAAAAATTAACCTAAATATTAAAACCTATGGCAAATGTAGACACATAAGTGGTTAAGCTCTTTGTTCAAGTAGAAGGAAAAACTGAACAGGCATGATGTCACAAAAGTGACATCCATTACATTCTGCTTTGACTCAGCAGGGGATCTGTCCATGGACCCCTTGCTGTTTGAAACAGATGCTACCCATGTTGAAAAAGGCCTTAACTAAATTTGAACGCAAATAGACTTTGATAGCAACTTCTTTCCTTCCTCTGTTTCACAGCAGAGCTCAGACTGGGAGAGAGAGGGAGAGCAGTACAAGGAGCTAATTAGTTGTGCTGCAGTGCTTATGTGCTCACAAGGAACATGCTGATAGGCATACCATTTACCTTTTAATTTTATCTTTAGCAGGTCAGTCTAGAGATACAGGTATCCTTATTGACCAGGTAGGATGGGCAGGAACAAACTAAAGTTTTAAGAGAGGGACCTTGCTTTCATCCACCTGTCCTTCATTGGTAGATTGCTTTAAATTTAGGAAAGCTATAGTATGACATCTATAAATGGAGGATGGGGGTGGATAAACATAGTTGGCACCCTCGATAAGTGCCTGTGACAGGTCCAGCACTTGTATTAACTGTGCAGCACCAGAAGATTACAACTGTGATGTTTTGGGGGTGCAGAAGAGTTCATTATGCTGGTGCTGGCTGTCCTAGTTGAAATCTGGACCATTTACATTAAAAGCACTGTCCCTTGTGCTGATTTTAGGTAAAATTGTTTTTTTTTTTTTTGATTTGTATGAAAATTCAGCTGCTTATAAATTGGACTCTCTGAATACTGAATTAGTATGCATATTTCATGACAGGTGATTCCTGTTTATAATTTTTTTTTCCTTTTTGTCACCAGTTTGGATCACCTAGGTTTCTTGACAGGTTTACGTTAAGGATGAAAAAGCAAATTTTTTAAAGGTCTAATTTAGACAAACTCAGATATCCACAAAGAAAAAAGCCAAAAAAAACTTGCCTTTTTGGAGACCAAAATATTCTTTAAATGAGAAATGTTCAGTGTACTTTACTTTAAGGGCCCATTCACACTTCTCCATTTCTGTAATGCTGCGTTAACATGAGTTGCCTTATGCTTTAAAGCATGTTGCGTAAAACAGTCCAATAATTTTGAATGGCTTGCCAGTTCACAGGACAGGACCAAAAAATAGGCATGCAGCATATTTCCAACAGTGCACATGCTATCTCAATGCACAGTAGTGCAAAGGTGTGTTTTTTTCAATCCTTAAAGCTTGCCCATACATCACTAAGATCCATCGCTTTTATATGTTGATACTATCATGATGATGGAGTTCAGGTTGCAGAATTGGCTATTCTTAAGGTGCTCACTAAGAATAATCAAAACAATCCTGCCTCTCTCTCCACGCTAGCCTGAATTATTGATAGAGCTAAGTGTAAGAATACGTGCCTGCATGAATTCCCAGATAGGGTAGTGCACTTTACTCTTTTGTAATTTCAAATGTATAAAATGAAGCCTGGATGCTCAACAAGCTATGCTCGAGACCTGTAATCAGGTCTGGAGGACAGAGTGCTGCACAATAGGGGACAGAGGCTTTGGTGGGCCTTGGTGCTGGACAGATGGAAGGCCTTTGTGCTGATTGACCAAGATTCCAGTAGATCTGAGCATTGGGAACTTTGGGAGAGGTGTGCTGTGTGGCTGCTGACTGGCACTTTCCCTCTTGCTGGTTAGAGCTGTACTATTCAACAATACCTATTCCTTCATTGTGGAATGTGTCTCCTGATTGGACAGTGCTATTGGCAATCAAATACCATTGGTGCACACATCACAAATAGTAGTTTTCTATTAACATTTTGTACAAACATATAATTTTTTTCTGGGTGCACTACAACATAATGTGCTAATAATAGCAATGTTGTGAAAATCAAAGTGGCTCTAAACGCTAAACATTTTTACCTTTTTAATGCATTCAGTGCATTAGCGTAAAAAAATGCTCTACTGCCTTTTCCTCTGTCCCTAAACACCTGACTCCTCTATTGATCCAGTGCTGTCCCGTCTCCAGCCCCACTCTGCTCTCTTCCTCTTCTAACAGGACACACTGAGAGCAGGGGGAACCATAGGCTCTTGCTGCTGTCAGTCAAATACTGTGAGGAGGAAGTCGAGGGCATGGCACACAGCCCAGCTCAGGAGCTTGTCTTCACAGGTGCCCCCTCAGTACATGGGTTGCTGAGGGGGCACTCGGAGTAGAGGAGGAGCTGAGAGCGCCAGCGGGGGACTTCAGAAGAGGAAGTAAGAACCACTCTGTGCAGTATCATGACACAGAGCAGGTTAGTATAACTTTTATTTTAATGAAAAAAAAAATATAGCTTAAGCATCCCTTTTAAATCCAGCCATAGATGTCGGTTGGTTAAGCAGGGACTGGCTGAGATTCATCATCAATGTCTTCAGTACAACCAGCGTGTCTATAGCCTCCAGCAGTGATCATCTGTGCTGGTGGGTAAGGCTCCCTGCCAGCACAACACAATAGCACTGTGGGAGGGATTCCCCATCAACACTCAAGTAATTTTCTTTCCTTCCACCTGTAATGGAAGGAAAGAAAACTGTGTAATCTATGGGCTGCATTTTTGTGGTCCTCCAAGCACGTTGAAGTCTCACTTGAGGCCCCCTATATTTAAGCTGACCACCATCGAACTAAGCTGTTGTAAACACCTACCGTGTAGGAACATCTTTGGTGTGTTAATGTGAGTGGTTGATGTCTTATCAATCTATAGCTTTCTCCCTTAGGCACAGTGGAGCAAGCAAAATATAATGAGACCCACTGATCTGCAGTAAGATGCCAACCAGATGATGATTGCTTGCCTTTATATCAAATTAAGTATTTGTCTGGATAGCTGAATTAGCTGAACTTGCATTTTTTTCCAACATCAAATTAAGTATTCTGAATTTGCTTTCCAATTAAATGAAATAAATGGTCTGGTTTTCATATGCAGCTTTTTTTTTTCTTAGATTATATTTTTTTAGTCCATATAAAGACCAATGCTTTTATTGAAGGAAATTTGTCATAATATAAGTTCTTCGATATAGATCACTCTCTGCATACCGTTGAGTGTGGGATGTTACCAGATGGAATGTCTGGACAAGGCTCTAATGATTTAATTATTTCCTTCTTTACTTCACAGACCTTTAAGTGAGGAAGAAATATGTGATTTAAAGGAAAGACACTACGACTCTATTGTTGATCGACAGAAATCTGATGATGTCAGGTTACAGCATGAGGTAATGGAATATTTGCTTGCAGTATTTATCTTCTGATCTCAAAGGTTTGGGTTACTGCAAGGCTTCAGTTTTCCAGGATCAATGCAAAATGGCCCACATATCAAGCACAGTTTTGAATGTGTTTCCTGATACAGTAATCATTTACTGTTTTTGTTTTGCCAGCTATTCTGAATAGTCTCCTGTTATGTACTAGGTTTGTTTTTCCAGAAACATGGACCTCAAATTCTGTCGTAAAAGAAGTATTTTCACCTCCATGCCCCATTCCCCTAACTGCTGTTTAGAAATTGGGCAGTCAGAGCACATCTAACCCCGACCATATTTTATACAATTTTCTTATTCAATTTCCTTTTGATTTACATTCAGCTGTGCCGTGCGAGGGCCTGCCTGATTGCATACAAATTGGAAGTGTTTAGGTTTGACCTCATATTACCTCATATTATATAGTTTTGGTAAATCTAAAGGAAAAGTACAATAAAATTGTGTGGCCAACCTAAAGGATGTTTGCTAGAGGGGCTGTTAAAATGTTTGTGCCATTCTTTGTCAACAGTAAATTTTAAAATAAACCAGATCTGCCCTAAAAAAAGCTAACAACAACACTGAAGTGCAGATATCTTGTGGTTCCTACAAATACTTATCTATCTTAGTAATTAAGTTGATCCTTGTGCAGTTCCTTGAATCCTAAGCCCGGGCTGTCCATTGGGGCCTCAACTTTAAATAGAGATTGACCAATTCCTACCGGCTGTTGTGGTAAAACAGCCTCCAGGTGGAGAATTATTCTGCCTTGGTGCAGGCCCACACAGTGCTGCTGCTTCTGATGTCTTCAGACAGTGGAAAGCATAGGCGTAAGGCACAGAACCAATCAAAGAGGCTCTATTCCTTTGTGATCGCTGTGATGACCAATCACAGCAATCACAAATGTAAACAGTAGTTTGGTGGTTAGTGGCCCTTTAAAAGACAATGTAGTGGGATTTAAGTTGCCAGCGACCACCAGTGATGGAGGAGAGGGTATGAAAATGCCACTGCCCACCAGTGATTGTGGGATTGTTTTGGTGATGGTTTAACCCTTTTACTGCCACCAAAACACTTTGGGGGGTGTAAATCTGACAAGCTGATTGTCGGCTGCCAGATAAAAGCATGCTTTCTCACATCCCAGTAACTGCCGATCTGCGCTCCATTAGATTTGTTGGGAGGCCAGGTGAGACATCATGGGTCTTTTATACTTGAACTTGGCTTCAGCGAAAAGTCGGTAGGCTTTAAGGCCTTATGTCTGCACCAATGGATTTCACAGGAACATAAGAACCGTTTTGAAGATTAACACAGGTACTTGCAGTCCAGTCTTTTTTTTTTTTTTTTTTTTTTTTTTTTTTTTCTTCCTCATTACAGTTGTCCCATAATTTTTATTTGTTAATGTCCATTAGATATGTTTTTCATACAAAATCAGACAAAAGATTATACCAATACGATACATTTTAAAATCCTCAATGTGTGTGTTGGTGGGGAAAAACATTTCAATGAATGATGATGTGTTAAATATGTTTGCTCTAACCTTATTATGCCTCACAGGAACATGTAGCTTCATTTATAGAGTTGCTAATGGTCATATTTCTGTGTTGAAGGGAGGAGATAGTATTTTCATGCCATTGGTGTCTGAATGGAGAACAATGTATTCTTATTTTTCTCTTAGTGCACTAAAAGCATGAAAAGAAGAATATGATTGGTTATTCCTTCAAGCAGTTTTATGCATTTGGTATGATACTTTAATGCATGGCGCATAATACCTTTTCTGGTAACCACTAATGTCATGGTGTTTGATGGGTATTTGTTGTAGCACTTCACAATCTTTTTCTAAATAATGAATAAAATGTACGTTTTTAATTAAAATGGTCTCTACAGAAGCTCAGTCTAGTTAAATGTAACAACAAAAATGCATGTAAATAATTTCATATGTAGGGCTGCCAGCTTCGTGGAGATACTGGGTTACTCTACTGCTTGTGTCTAGAGAAGAGGAGCTTTGTTCATGCAAAGAGCTTGAGCTCCGCTTTAATCCTGGTCATGGTTGTCCCTGGAAAACAGAAAATTTCCTCAAATGCCAAGTCAATTTAGTTATTACAATATCCACCTCATTGCTATTACTATACTACAAAGTTATTCCTGCAGCCCACCAGTGTGCAGCATTTCTCTTTTGTCGTCTGGGAATGCTACCTACTCAAAATTTGTGAAATTTGCTTAATAATGCAAAAAAATATAGTAACATTATGCAGCTGCTGTTGTAAACTGTAAAGATGCACAAATGTGATTGTGGCCTTTGTGACTGGCAGTGGTTGGTGTACTGCAAGAATAGCTGATCCATAAGGCTTTGATGGATAAAAGAATAAACGTATTTGTATTTAAACTGTCTTTGTGGATTTTCTGGAGTACCGCTTTAATACAGGATCACTGAATACTATACCCAAGTTCTACTACTAGTATTTCTGTCCAAGGCTGAAAACCAGTGCTTGTAGCTGGGATGTGCAGTCCATCAATACTTAAATGTGAAGCCGGCAACTCGGCGGACTTAAACATTGCAAATATTTATTCGTTATACAGGTACATCCAGTAAAACAATGCTAACGTGTTTCAGCTGCTATGGCCTTACTCATAGCATCATGACTAAGGCCATAGTGGCTGAAATGCATTAGCATTGTTTTAATGGATGTACCTGTGTAGCCAATAAAGATTTACAATGTTTGAGGCCAGCTTCAAATTCATCACCGTTTTAATATAACCCCTGTGCATTAAATATACAGCTCCTATCGCATGAAAAAACAAAAGGAAACATAAATAGGCCATTTGTGTGGCTACTTCCTTCTCAGCATATGATTACTGAGAACATCTTTAATTTAAAAAATAAATGTATGCTATTTAATACATAGTTAATGCAATAGGGACTTTCTTGGCGTTGCTATATGTGCTAATTTTTTTTTTTTAGTATCAGAAATATATTGCATTAGATGGAAAGGAGTTGGGTGTTTTATGCTAATAAAATCCAACCTTAACTACTGAACAGCGTTTAGAACTGTTAGAACTACTGAACAGTGTTTAGAACTGTTAGAACTACTGAACAGCGGTAATGCAACAGCATGGAAGGGGACTTTAAACCAATGGAGCAAAGTAAACAAGTGCTGAAATGGAGCATCGACCACAAAATTCAGCTTTTTTTTTTTTTTTTTTCTTTTAAATAAAGCAAAGACTATAGGAAATACCAATATTACTATTTCCACAGACCATCAGTACAGTCTTCAGATGTTCTCAAATAAGTTTGAAAAAAGCCAGATGTCCATTAAGTTCAGCCTTGCACAATTCCTGCAGCTTTTGCTCACAGGATGTAAAATTGCTTCGTTTCCACAAGGAAGTAATGCAGTTTAAAGGAAAAAAAAATCCAAGATAAATGTTCAATATACTTTTTATTTTATTTTTTGGCTTTTGGTTAGACTTTGGAAAGAACATGCTACAATGGTTTATTACAGCATTAAACCATTCCTACCAAGAAGCTGCTTGTTTCCATGCCCACATCTGCAGTTTTAAGTGTGTCTTTTGTGTTTCCATTTTGGTCTTAACTGATGTAATACAAATGGAAAATGAATAAAATGTGTGACCCCTCTAATGTGCACACTGGTTTTGTGTTCCAGTTTCTGGACTTTGGTAGCTTAAAGTGTTACTAAACATACAACAGTAAGATCAGTCTGTATATGCAGTAAAGCATGCTTGTTATACTCACTAAGCTAAGATGTTAATCCTTCACCTTGTGTAAAAAGGATGTTTGATCCTGTCTTCTCTCATCCTCTCCTTCTACTGTCCCATATCCATCTGCTGATAGAACAGATCCACATTGTGTAAAAAGGATGTTTTATCCTGTCTTCTCTCATCCTCTCCTTCTACTGTCCCAAATCCATCTGCTGATAGAACAGAGCCTTGGGGGCAAGCTGCACATGCTCAGTTTGGTGTGTATCACTAGAGTTTTTTTTTGCTTTTTTTTTTCTTGGGAGAGTGCATGTGATCAGCACAGGGCCAATCAGTGCTGTCCAGACAGAGGGTCAGGGGGTTATGCAGCCTCATCAGGGGGGAATGAAAACTCCTCCTACAAGCTCTAACCAGTGCTCTGCTGGACACTGATAGAAGTCTCAAGACTGTTCTAACTGCTGATGAGAAAAGGTATTTAGAAGTTTATATTTACTAAAATAGTTGCATTTCCATGTTCTGTGTACTGTGGGAGACCAGATATAGTGAATGCAGGGGCCTGGGTTTAGTAACACTTCAAGTTTGTTGCTACTAGAACTCTAATCACATATACAGTTGCATTCGATTACTGGTGTTATCTGCATTGCATGGGGCATGGCTGATAGTGCCCTAGCTGCAGCTGGGCTAACTACTATATTGTTTTAGAAGTAGTCTGTTTTTATGTTCATTCATCATGTATGTATTCATTTGCTGTGATGTTTTTTTAATCATTACTTGCATGTTTTCTTTTCTTTTGTTTATATTCTTCTTTAGTTCTGAAAGTGATAGCAGCTAGATAGGTTCTTATTTTGTTAACCCTTATTGTTCTGTTCATGTGCAGTTAGCGTTACAAGAGAAGAAGTTAAAACTAGAAGAGGAGGCTTTATACACTGCACAGCGTGAAGCTGCCAGGGCAGCCAAGCAGAAAAAAGATATTGGAGGTGAGGGGATGGGCGCCCCATTATTACAGCCAATCCTCATACATGTGCTGTTTGTTCTTTAATTTGTATTTTATGACCTGTAGGAAGAAAGCAGATTAAATATGATGTGTGTGTGTGTGTGTGTGTGTGTGTGTGTATCCATAACAAAGGTGTGAGGGTATCATAAGACTCACCACTGTATTTCGTCAAGTGCTCTTCATTCACCCAAAATCATATTTGAGCAAAGTAGTGCGCACACTTATTACTAGTGCCCTAAGACAACACAGGAATGTAAAGTTTCTTATGGCTTATGCCTGGTCCTGTGGAACCTTTTGACATATAGGCCTGGTTTAGGCCACAGGGTGGGCTGATGACAGAATCTGTGTCCGCTCAGTTTCTGCAGAGCGGACACACAGAGTGCTGCTCAGTTCTATGGGCAGCTTGGGGAGTAAATGGGCTCCGCTATCCATTTTACATCCAAAAAACCTCCAATCCAATCTGCCTAAATGGAAGAGGATGGACCCCCTTCCTGGACTGGATCGACTCAGAGGTAGGTGGATATACAGTAAATGTACACAAGTTCTTTACACCGACCTGTCCATAGGAATGCATGGACCTTCTGATCAGGTCTGCCTGAAAAACTGACAGGTGGACCTGATCGGATTGCCCACGTGAAAGAGGCCTACGAATGTGAGTGCAATATACTGCAATTATTGAATAAACCTGTAATCGTGAAATAATCTTTTAGATGAAAATTTTAGGCTTAGGGGAACACCAATACTAATGCATTTGTTACTAGTAATGCACCTATAATCTGATATTGAATTTGGGGTGATGTCCTGATTTTCTTATAGGTTGTGATTCATTGTAGACATTCTGTTTAACATCTGCATGTGACTATAGATTGATGTCTTAAATACCTTTTTGTTAATTTGTATGGTTAGATTCTGGGTGGTTCATACACCTTCTTAAGATAATCTGAGTTATTGTTATGAAGTATAGGCTTCAAAATATATATATATATAAATGAGGCTACAAATGGTGCTCATCATTTAAATAGAACTTTCATATGTTCTATTTAAACGATGAACATTCAAGAATTTTCATATTCTCAAAGCTGAACCCTGGGCACAAAAACGTTAAATTAAACATATTCCTCAATGGCCACAGAGAATATGAATTAGTTTTGTGTTTGTCAAATGCTACTTGTAAAAGTAGCAGTGACATCACTGGGCTGTACATATTGTGCATAGAGTAGACAGGCTGTCTACATAAAGCTACAGGGGGCTGTTAAAAGACTGGTCACCCTACTCGGGGAGAGAGAATGGCAGTAACATGTATGTATTGCAGGGAAGCTCTACACAAAAGCAAAATGTAGTATTTCTTTCATGCAAGATTACTGCAAAGATCTGGGAGAAATACACAAATGACACCAAGACATATAGTTCTTGTATGTTAAAATATTTGGTTAACCTGATGTTCAGTTTCAAAAAGCAGTAAAAAAGCTTTAAAACAATCCTACACTGATCTCTGCAGTTACTGTAGATTTATTTATTCCCAAGTTCACAGCAGAAGCACTGATGTCATTAAAGTAATTTGTCCAGTTTGCCCTGTTTCCCCCTCCCATTAGTGACTTGGCAGCCTTCTAATCTCTAATGCGGATATTGAGTAGAAGCTCTGGAGGGGGAGAAAATAGTTAAGCTGAGGTACTAAATAGAACAGCTTGAACAAATACAGCATTTATGCAATGAACTCTACTTCCCATTAGTCTGCCCCATTGCCCTGTACAGCCTTGGGAAAGGAAAATCTGGGTTGCTCTAGGCAAAGCTTATACAAGGCCCAGGACTCACCCCCCCAAGAGGGAGAGTTTCAGTATAGGAATTGGTGCTTGCAGGCAGCAAGGTACTATGGGATATGCAGTCCTTAGAAACTGGCGTGAGTGCTTGATTGCGCTAAAAGTGATATACAAGTATACAGTGAACCGTCATATATTGACGTATGGATAAGTGAATCAATAAATAAATAAAGAGTGACTTTGGTGTTTGGTAAATTAATGACATAAAATCAGCAAGATAAAGTCCAAAATTCATGTGATCCGTGTTCGTGAAATCCCTGATTGGAACTGGTAATATGATTGCACTCACCAGAAGCGCAAAAATAAAGATTATGTATATATATATATTATCCCATTGTGGTCATCTGGGTACAGGTAAGGATGGTGGAATCATCTGGCACACAGTCAGCATACAAGGCAACTCCAGACCTCTCTCACAGGACCCTCTCAGCATCCAGGGACAGCTCCATGGTACTCTCACACCACTGGATAAAACAGCTCAGAAAAACAGGAATCTCTTTTTCTGCACAGGAGCCTGCATATTGCACCTGTGATCAGGGGTGCAATGTCAGGTTTCTGCACAGTCTCCCTCCTTTTTTGTGTCCGTACCTCTGTACAAGCTTTTGGTTAAAAAAGCTTGAGGAAGATTCCGTGGACTACGAGTGCACTGATCAGCGCACTCATTGTCCATTGAGAACTACAGATCTCTGAATGATGTGGTTGTGAGTCTGGAGCCCCACAGTCATAAGTCATGCCAATTTTATATGTGACATCAGCTGTGGGGGAGAGGACCCCCCCCGCCTACTGCCACAGGGGAGGGGGGGTGAGCTTAGGGGTGAGAGTGTTCAGCCATTAGTGACATGTTGCATGTTACACCATAAATGAACACACTATAAGTGAACCTATTCTTTTAAGGAGGTTAAAACCGAAGAAATTCAAGGGTGGTGACAGACAACTTATTAGGAGTAATAAATATAGATGCAGTATACAGCAGATTGCTAGTCATCACTGGTTAAAAAAAAAAAAGGGGCTGCTATTGAGGTTCAGGGTAGGCTGCTGGTCACCAGTGGCAAAGATCAGGTCAGGGGGACTATGATGTTTGCATTGTATTGGACACAAAAATGGTTAAAGTTTGAAGGAAATTTAGAAATGTTTGTGTCCTATTCAATGCGAACATCATAGCCCCATAGGCTGCTGTAACATACCGACCCCAGGAGTCCCTTTGCAGGCTGTGAAATGTTGCATTGGTTGTTAGTGGCCTATATTGCATCCCTAATAATGGCTGTCTTTACCACTGCTGACCAGCAGCCTATACTGAACATTTAATTGCAGCCTTTTTAAAACCAGTTTTGGACAATCACCTATACTACACCTTATTATATAATCCCTACTTATAAGTTGCCTGTCGCAACAATTTCGTCTCCCAAGTTTTAACCTCCTTAACTCTGGAAGTCTGTGTTTGTCTATAGTGTGTACATACAGCTGCTGTGTCCCCATAGATTTACATGTGTTGCCTGCATGCAGCACCTGGCAGTTCCAGCCATAGAAGGCCCATTCATGGTGTACAGGCCTCAGCACCCATGTGAATGAACCTTTAGACTGGCAAATACAGTGTGTTTTCAGGTGCACTCAGCACGCATCCAGAATCCATTTAAAATGCTTCTGAGATCTTTCGGAGAAAAATCGTAAGTGCTTCTAATTTAATCCTAAACTCCTGCTGCTGCTTTTGCTTTTCTATGAATTCATATCATAAACAAAAGCCTGTGCACACAGGCCCTCTCAGTGGCACACAATAAAAAAAGGCACATCCAGCTTATTGGGGTTGATTTACTAATGGAAAATAGGCTGTTCACTTTGCAAGATAATTCTCCCCAGAGTCTAGTGCATAAGGTAACGTTCTGCTGACTTACATCTGCCAATCATGTGCAAGCAAAAAAAATATTTTTTTTTCTTTAATGTCACTTGTACATGATTGGGTATTTGCAAAGTGCAACTTCACCACATTCACTAAGCTTGAGGGGAAAATCCCCTTGTGTAACTTCTCTTGTAAAGTGAATAGTCTATATCCCTTTAGTGAATCAACCCCATCCTTTAAAAGGCGCATCCAACTTGTGTCCTTTTGTAAAGAGAGCTTGGGATGATGGATGTACTGTTGCAATACCAGGTAAGTAGATTAGCCTTCATATATTCCAATATCTCATCTATTGTGATTAGAATAATAATGCTACAATGTGAACAGATTCACCTTACGTTTTCTTCTCATTGCAAGAACTTTTTAAAAGTATGTAATTTTCTGTTAAAATGCATTATATAGTGTTAAAGGGTACAGAAACGTAAAGTGAAGTCCATACCACCTTCTATTAACCACTTCCTGTCCGGCCGTTGTATATAAACGCCCGGACGGTGGCAGTGCAGGGGCGGGTGGCCGTTTATAAACGGCCCCCCTGCTTGTGCGCACTCCCTGGGAGCGCGCAGCACTGCGATCCGGTGCCCGCTGTGTCCTCCGGACACAGTGGAACACTGATCGTTCTACGGGACCTCTGTGTGAGGTCCCGATCATGTGATCACTGATTGGCCAATCAGTGATGATATGAAGAGTAGTAAGCAAGATGTCACTTCTGACATCATTGCTTACTACGTGTGAAATCTGTGAATGATCACAGAGGTCACATGGTACAAGGCTATTCACAACAGCCTTGTACCATGTGACAAGCTGTGACCAATCACAGCTCACACAGTATTATTCAATGGCTGCAAGAATGCAGCCAGAGAGGAGAAATGATTGCTTTTACATCCTTTTGTGTGTAAAAGCAATCGGTGTAAAAAAAAAAAAAAAAAAATCTTCATCACCCCCCACAAGTAGTACAGTGTCACCATGGCGACACTGTACTGCTAAAAAAATAAAGTAAAAATTAAAAAAAAAAAAAAGTTTAAAAATTAATATTTTGGGTTAGAAACTAATTTGGGTTATTTTTTTTTTACTAAAAGTATAACTGAATACATTTTGGCCAAGATTTATGAAGAAAGATTTGCAAAATTTTATAGGAAAAATACTTTTTTCAAAATTTTTGGAAACTTTCATTTATATAGCAAAAAAATAAATATCCCAGTGGTGAATAAATACCACCAAAAAAATAAAGCTTTATCTGTCTCAAAAAAATGCTGAAAAATTCATATGGGTGCAGTGTTGCATGACCGCGCAATTGTCATTCAAAGTGTGATAGCGCTGAAAGCTGAAAATTGGCCTGGACAGGAAGGGGGTAAAAGTGTCCGGACTTGAAGTGGTTAATTTTGAGGACTACAGAAGAGATCACTTGTTAATGGTCCACCTACCTGTTACATCCATCAGGAAAGATTTTACTCTTCCTGTTGGATTGTCATTTATTCCAGATTCTGGAAAATCTCATCAGTAAAGAGTTATTCAGAGATAGTCTATTGTTCAGTTTGTATAGAATGACTTTTATTTTTTACCTTATCAGTAGAATCATCATTTAGGATTGTAGAGAGACTTGCCCACAATCGAAAAAACACATGTCCTTCTGGAACAGGGAGAACTCTGGCAATTGCCAGGGATAAGAATGTGGACATCACCTTTTAATATTTTATCTCACAAAGTATGGAAGATTAAAAAGTATTTTTAACTGAGTTGCTTACACTTTGATGTATTATTTAATTTAAGGGATTTCTGTTACTCAGAAGATCAGAGACTAATTCATGAGTCATTTATTTTATTGATTGCCTCATTTGCTGACAGGCTCCTTACTGAGCTGAATGTGAAGAATTTCAAGTAAAATATTTAACATTTGAAAGGAAGTTAAGCATGGTGGTGAATTGATTAAAGGTAACAGTCAGTCTGTAAGAAACACATAATCAGGAAATGCTGCATCTCCACAAGACATTGTCAGTGTTGGCAATGATACACTCTCTTAAGATGTGAGGGAACTCAAGGCCAACAAAAGATGAAGATGTCTAATAGAAAACAGCTTTGGCTTGAGTGAGTTATTTCCATTTCAGTACCATCATTTGATAGCTAATCTGTGCTCAACAAATCTAAACATAAGGTAAATTCATTGTAAAAGAAAGTGTTCCTATATTGCGCTTAAATAATACAGCACTAGAGCAACATCAATAAATAATTTCCACATCAGACATACGTTGTACATTCCATGAATTTCCATGTCATGGAAGCCATTTGCGAATAAAGATCTCACAAAAGACATTTACTGTATGGTTCTTCAATGCGTTATCAAAGATGGCTAACGTCATTCAGAAACACACAGGGTACATATAACCATCATGCACATAGGTCTCCATCCTTTACCTCCTCCTAATCTCCCTCTTGTCCATTTTGTGCATATTTTGTAGTTGTTAATTCTCTCAGGACAGTCATTAATTTCTACTTAGTAATGCAACCTTGCTCACAAAAGCATTTCTATAGTATTGAGGTCCATGTAGAGAAAAAAAAAAGTAGGATGTGAAAGAGCCTGCACTTCAGGAGGGCTTATACATACAAGGATAAACCAATGCCTAACATTTCCTTCACTATCTTTTCCACCTTTCTGCCATTTCACAGGAACAGTGTGGAGAAGAGACAGTGGGGTGACAAAGTACTAACCAATTGAAAGGAAAATATTACATGCATCTTCTATTGTCGATTAAGTGAAGTTGCCCTTTTCATCTGCAGTTATTGTAATGCTTTAATTTTCTGTCCTGTAGCAACATCGACAGCAGTGGATAAAACAGAGAGCTCAGGCCATAAAGAATGGTGACAGGTACTTTTATTTTTTTAAATACCCCTATTTAGTAATATATGTTTAAAATGTAAATATCAATGTACTGTCATTCACCACTTGGTATCTATGTGCAATATAAAACCGGATAATTGACTACAGGACATTTTTATGAGACCTGTGGGTCTGATGGGGGAAGGCATTAGCTTCACTTGTCTGTGACCACTGTAGTCCACAGCTAAACCTTAAAGCTAATCTGTTTCTGGGCATCTGACAGTTACATAAAGTGCTGTGAAGAGCACTTGGTAGCACATCGCCGTAGCAGGGAAGTTCTAATGTCCGTACAATGTCTTTTGGTGAAGGGGCCATGCTAGAGGCAGTTAGGCCTGATTCAGCAATGACCTGTCTTCTCTTGTTTCAGACCTAAAAAAAACAACAACCAATAAATAAATAAAAATAATTAAAAAAAATATATATATATTTATATATATATATATATATATATATTACCCCTAATTATTTATTGCTAGTCAACAGTAGTGTACATCCTCCACAAAAAAAATAATCTAGAATGCAGAATGTTTGTTGTATTGTGATTGCATTCTTTTGAAAATAGCTGGCTGGGCAACAAAATAAATGCATTTGTCTTATTTTAATTGTTAAAGTGGTTCTAAAGCCAAAAAAATTTTTTTCCTGCATTAACCACCTCCCACCTGCCATATAAGGTAATGACGGGCGCAAGGTGGTTCTCTTGTTCTGGGAGAGCGTCATATGATGTCCTCCCACTCTAACTGCGCGTGCGAGGTTCCCGGGAGCACGCAGCGGGGAAGATCGGTGGTCCGAGGGACACAGCGGATCACCGATCAATGGAAAGAGCCGAGGATGTCGACTCGGTCATGTGATCAGCTGTGTCGAATCACAGCTGATTGCATGTAAATAGAAAAATGCTGGTTATCTGCATTTTTCTCCTCACGAGCTGTCACGCTGACAGCTCGAGAGGAGAGGAGAGCCGGTAATCAACATTTCACAGAGAGGACATGTACACTGATCATCAGTGTAGCCCCAGCAGTGCCAGCTGTCAGTGCTCATCAATGCCGCCTGCCAGTGCCCATCAATGCCACATATCAGTGCCTACCAGTGCACATCACATATCAGTGCCCATCTGAGCTGCCTTTCAGTGTCACCGGTCAGTGCCACCTATCAATGCCAGTCAGTGCTGCCTAACAGTGCGAGTCAATGCCGCCTATCAGTGCCATATATGAGTTCTGTCTTTCAGTGCCACCTACTAGTGCCTCCTCATCAGTGCCCATCACTGCAGCCTTATTAGCGCACATCAGTGAAGGAGAAAAATCACTTATTTACAGAATTTTATAACAAAAACTAAGAAACTTTTTTTTCTCAATTTTCAATTGTTTTTGGTTTGTTTAGCAAAAAATAAAAGGCCTTATCTGTCTCAAAAAAAATTATAACAATTTCATATGGGTATAGTGTTGCATGACCGCGCAATTGTCATTCAAAGTGTGACAGCACTGAAAGCTGAAACCTGGCCTGGGCAGTAAGGGGGTATAAGTGCCCTGTAGGCAAGTGGTTAAGGTGAAACCATTTTATAGCTTTTTGCCTTCCCTTTGTGAATAGGAAGAGAGGGGAGAAGAGATACAGTGCTGTGCATGGCTGTATCTTTTCTCCCTTCTCCTTCTCACAGGGGCTCCCATAGATTCACACAGCTTGGCAGCAAGCACACACCGTGAAGAAGTGGAGGAGCCAAGATCGCTGGTGGGGGACTCAAGAAGAGGAGGATCAGGGCTGCTGTATGCAGGTGAGTATAAACGTTTATTATTTTGATTTTTTTTTTAATGACATTTAGTAATACTAAAATGCATGATACTGCTTTACCATGTGATCCAGTGCAGGCAAACGCACTGTGTTTGAGATCTCTTTTGGAGTGTTGTTAAAATGGTTCTAAAGGCTCAAGGTTTTTTTTACCTTCATGTATTCTATACATGAAGGTAAAAAACCTTCCCTGTGCAGCATCCTCCCTAGCCCCCCCTAATACTCAAGCCCCCCTCTCGATCCAGTGATCTGCACTGGAGTCTCGGCCATCCCGGGACTCCCTCTCCTCATTGGCTGAGACAGAAGCGGGAGCCATTGTCTCCCACTGCTGTTAATCACAGCCAGTGAGCCAATAGAGGAAGAGAGAGGGGGTGGGCTGAGCCACAGTTCCTTGTGTGAATAGACATGGGAGCAGCGGGTGCCCCCGTAGCAAGCTGCTTGCTGTGGTGGCATCTGGGAGGAAGGAGGGGGGGAGGGGGGGGCCAGGAGCGCCTGTGGGGGACCAGAGAAGAGGAGGATCCGGGGCTGCTCTGTGCAAAACCACTGCACACAGCAGGTGTTAAAAAAAAAAAAAAAAAAGCCTTTAGAATCACTTTAAGAATATGCTGACACCTGCAGCAGATCGCACACCCAGTGTGGGAGAGGTGCACAGAAAGCAGGGTGTGAATGAGCCCTCATTGGAAGTCAGGTGGCATTGGAAGACAGCTAGGGAATTTTGTAGATTTTGCCCTTTTTTCCTCTTGCCTACTTCTTGTTGCTGTGGTTACCAAGATTACTTGCTTGAAGGCAATGTGGCATATTTGGGAAATTGCTGATTAGAAAGAAAAAAAGAAAAACAAAACATAGATCATGTTCATAAGCTCAGCCTTCAAATCCACAGTCTGTTGATATATGTTTTTGCTTTTGTTTACAGCTCTGTACCAGAAGATTTTGAATCATATTTGCATAGTGTGAGATCTCAATATGAAGCTGTCAGAAATAGCAGTAAGTTTTGTAAAATCTTTGTTTTTTATAGAGAATTTACAGATACTAAAATGAGCACCTCCATTTATTGAAGGTGACCTTTTAATTATGTTTTTTTTAAATGGAAAAATGTATGTATGCTTTATGCAGTTTTAAACTCTGTGATCATAAAAACAAAAAAGAGAGAAACTACTTCAACTATAAAGTGCAGACATAAAGAGGTGCATATACCTGCAGCAGTCTCAAACTCCTGGCCAAATTTCTGGCTGTTTTGACAGGAAAAGCCTTCTTCCTCAATTTTTTGGCATGGTGTGACAGGACATTTTGTGGGCTGGTGCAGTTATGTGCAGGTGCTTGAACTTTATACATGTAGCAGTGGGTTTTGTTTTGTTTTTGTTTTTTTTCACTTTAACAAACTAATGGTGAATCCAGGGTAAGGACAAAAGAAGGAAAAAAAAAAAAGTTTACCTCGTCCTAATTACTAAACCACTGGGAAAAAAACAAATAGACTTTCTTGGTACCCCCCATGAGCAGTGACAATTTTACAAGGTAATATCTAGTTTTATTTCAATCATTATAAAAACATAAAAAGAAACCAACAGAGATGGGGTTGTTAAGGTGCATACTACATAGACTCAAGATTATAAAGTAAATACTTTTTAGTGTACTTTAATAAACTATCTTGTCAAATTATTAAAATAAAGTATATTAATTTCATGATCACATATCATTTAATTAGTCTAGCAGTGAGATGTATATTCCCGACATGTTTCGCCTACTCCGGGCTTCTTCATGGGAAAGGATAATCTGCTATTGTTCTAAAAACATATCAAAATTGTACATTTTTAACAAAATATGTATTTATACATTTACATAGTTATCACTAAAAGTACTTTATCCAAAACATCAGCTTACTTGCTTACCCTTAAAATTAGATATTGGTTTGAACTGAAAAAAGGAAGGAACATAGATATTCAAGTTGAAATCAAGACCCAGCCTTCCATGTGATCAGAGGATATACAGTACAAGGACTAAACTGCAACAGACACATATACACTCACTGGTCACTTTATTAGTTGCACTTGTTAAATTGCTTGGTAACACAAATTACTAATCAGCCAATCACATGGCAGCAACTCAATGAATGCATTTAGGCATCTAGACGTGGTGCTGACGACTTGCTGAAGTCCAAACCAAGCATCAGAATGGAGAAGAAAGGGTATTTAAATGACTTTGAATGTGGCATGGTTGTTGGTTCCCATACGGGCTGGCCTGAGCAACTGCTGATCTGCTGGGATTGTCACGCACAACCATCTCTAGGGTTTACAGAGAATGGTCCAAAAAACAGAAAATATCCAATGAGCGGCAGTTGTGTGCACGTAAATGCCTGGTTGATGCCAGAGGAGAATGGGCAGACTGGTTGGAGATGACAGAAAGGCAACAGTAACTCAAATACCCACTTTTTACAATCAAGGTATGCAGAATACCATCTCTGAACGTACAACACATCGAACCTTGAAGCAGATGGGCCACAGCAGCAGAAGACCACACCAGGTGCCTCTCCTGTCGCCTAAGGAAACAGAGGCTACAATTCACACAGGCTCACCAAAATTGGACGATAGAACACTGGAAAAACGTTGCCTGGTCTGATAAGTCTCGATTTCAGCTGCGACATTCAGATGGTAGGGTCAAAATTTGGTGTAAACAACATGAAAGCATGGATGCATCCTGCTTTGTATCAACAGTTAAGGCTGGCAGTGGTGGTGTAATGGTGTGGAGGATATTTTCTTGGCACATTTGGGCCCCTTTGTACCAACTGAGCATCTTTTAAATGCCACGGGCTACCTGAATATTGTTGCTGACCATGTATGTCCCTTTATGACTACAGTGTCCCCATCTTTTGATGGCTACTTCCAGCAGAATAATGCACCATGTCACAAAGCTCAAATCATCTCAAACTGGTTTGCTGAACATGACAATGAGTTCACTGTACTGCAGTGGTCTCCATAGTCACCAGATCTCAATCAAATAGAGCACCTATTATGGTGGAATAGGAGATTCACATCATGGATGTGCAGCCGACAAATCTGCAACAACTGTGATGCTATCATGTCAATATGGACCAAATCTGAAGAACGTTTCCAGCACCTTGTTGAATCTATGCCACGAACAATTAAGGCACTTCTGAAGGCAAAAGGTCTAACCCGGTACTAGCAAGGTGTACCTAATAAAGTGGCCAGTGAGTGTATAAGGAACAGTGTGTAAATGTATTTTTTTTATATGGGAAAATGCTCACTACTGTATTGATCATCTCCAACGATTACGTACAAGAAATATTGCAGGATAAGACCACGCAGGGGCGTCAAAATAGTATAGATGTCAAAATTACTTATCCAGACACTAAGCGTAAAATAGAAATACTGTTAGGACCCTTTAGTAGCTAAGCAGTCCAAATGCCACACAGCTGCATTTATATAAATAAAATACATGCTTAATACACAAGATCATCATGGCCATGTAGAAGATATATAGTGCAGCTCTATGTAAAGTCAATTCAAAACATGTCAACAGCCAAAAGTTACCGCTGTATTACAACATGATTGTAGCATATATGGAATTAAGGAATCAATATAACAGTTGGTACAGCATCAGTCATTGTATTTACCACTAGCTGTGTCTGGTCTGCAAACAAGTCACCCACGTGGATCCAGCAAGTTGGTGGCTGCACATGTCGGCCTTCTATACCCCTCACCCGGCCGGCGTCTGACATCTCCGGCCGGGTGCTGACGCCCAGCGTGTCACTGCGCATGCAGGAAATGCCACCAAAGTCCCTAGCTGGTAAGACTAAGTGAATATCAGTGTACAAAAGCAACAAGGTGCCGATAAAACAGCACCACCCTAGGATGTAGGAAGAAGGCTGCTCACATCCTAAAACATGCCAGAACAGCACCACCAAAAGGATACTTGCTAAGTGGCACACAATTTCACTTTGCAAACAAATACAATAGGAGATCAATTCAAACGACAAATATAATGCTCAGTAGTTGGCAAAGTTGGATCACTAGGGAAGAATAACCTAGGGAACACAAAGACAGATAACACGATAAAATTGGCATAGCTAGAATTAAACATTATAAAAATATACATCAAAGTTTAAAAAATTTATAGTATGACCCCTCAGAATCTGGAGAATGTTTCCCTACAGCAAAGATTGTCTATACATACTGATCATATGAGCAGACATAGCATAGTCACAATACAGAGAAAAAAATTCTGTAAAATTATGTTGTCCTCTACACAATTTGCAGTACAAACCGCTTCTTCAGGAGGCGGAGGGGAAACACATTTAATTCTAAATGAAGAAGGAAGAACAAAACAAAATAAACATTGTTTATAGTCAGTAATATACATTGTGTAATAAAGTAAACTCCAGAATGAACGCTATGGCTTACCCACAGCAGACCATTCAGGTCTGAGCCTCCCCAAAGACAGACTCTGGACTGCCTAGAGCAGCCTCAAGCATACCCATGTAGACTACAGCTGACCACTTTCAGGGAAGCACAGGAGTCAAGCGTTTGGAAAAGCACAGGCATGTTGGGCTCAGAGGTGCCAGGAGTTTAATGGCCAGTTCACACTACAAAAAACGCACTCCAGATTCATTTTGGATACATTTTTGCTTACAGTTCAGACCACATGCAGTTCTGGTGCAGTTTTGATGCAGTTTACTATGTTCCATTATGGTTCTGTGCAGAAAAAATTCTTTTGCACTGGAAACTGACTGGAAGTGACTGCACTGGTGTGATCTACGGCCATTGGAATACATGGAAAACACTCTGCATGCATTTTTGATGCAGACAAAAACCACACTGGACTGCATCTAGTGTCAACTAGCCCTAAGGGTATCTAGAAGCACTGAGGTGTTAAAATTACAGAAAGGCAGTAGTGTAGACATTTCTTGCAGCACAAGAATGTTGGACTGACCTGAAAGTATAAGTGCAAGGGTATCTAAAAAGCACAAAGGTGTTGGAAATAGAGAGAGGCAGTCATGTAGAAGTCTCTTGCAGCACTTGGATGCAAAGAACACAGACGGGAGGGTCTCTTGCAGCACTGGGGTGACACCAGTACACCGGGGTGAGGGTGTCTGGGTGTACTGGGGTGTTGGGAACACACAAAAATATGATTGAGACTTACGGAGAGTACTGGGCTGTTGGCAGCACATGAACACAGGTGGTAGAGTCTCTGGGAGTACTTGCTGTGCACAGGGAACACATGAGTGCTGGACGCAGCTGGAGTACACAGGAAACACACTTGAGCAGGAATGCTGGATGCAACTGTGGTGCACAGGGAATACACTGGAACAGGAATGATAATGTGGCTGTAGTGCAGAGGGAACAAAATGAAGCAGGGATGCTGGAGTGATCAGGAAACACAATGGAGCAGGAATGCTGGAGTGAGCGGGGAACACAGTGGAGAAGGAATGCTGGAGTGAGCGGGGAACACAATGGAGCAGGAATGCTGGAATGAGGGGGTAACAAAACGGAGCAGGAATGCTAGGGTGAGTGGGGAACACAATGGAGCAGGAATGCTGGAGTGAGTGGGCAACACAATGGAGCAGGAGTGCTGGATTGAGTGGGGAACACAATGGAGAAGGAATGCTGGAGTGAGCAGGGAACACAATGGAGCAGGAGTGCTGGAGTGAGCGGGGAACACAATAGTGCAGGAATGCTGGAGTGAGCGGGGAACACAATGGAGCAGGAATGCTGGAGTGAGGGGGGAACACAATGGAGCAGGAATGTTGGTGGGAGCGGGAAACACAATGGAGCAGGAATGCTGGAGTGAGCGGGGAACACAATGGAGCAGGAATGTTGGTGTGAGCGGGGAACACAATGGAGCAGGAATGTTGGTGTTAGCGGGGAACACAATGGAGCAGGAATGTTGGTGTGAGCGGGGAACACAATGGAGCAGGAATGTTGGTGTGAGCGGGGAACACAATGGAGCAGGAATGCTGGAGTGAGCGGGGAACACAATGGAGCAGGAATGCTGGAGTGAGCAGGGAACACAATGGAGCTGGAGTGAGCAGGGAACACAATGGAGCGGGAATGCTGGAGTGAGCGGGGAACACAATGGAGCGGGAATGCTGGAGTGAGCGGGGAACACAATGGAGCGGGAATGCTGGAGTGAGCGGGGAACACAATGGAGCGGGAATGCTGGAGTGAGCGGGGAACACAATGGAGCGGGAATGCTGGAGTGAGCGGGGAACACAATGGAGCGGGAATGCTGGAGTGAGCGGGGAACACAATGGAGCAGGAATGCTGGAGTGAGCGGGGAACACAATGGAGCAGGAATGCTGGAGTGAGCGAGGAACACAATGGAGCAGGAATGCTGGAGTGAGGGGGGAACACAATGGAGCAGGAATGTTGGTGTGAGCGGGGAACACAATGGAGCAGGAATGTTGGTGTGAGCGGGGAACACAATGGAGCAGGAATGCTGGAGTGAGCGGGGAACACAATGGAGCAGAAATGTTGGTGTGAGCGGGGAACACAATGGAGCTGGAATGCTGGAGTGAGCAGGGAACACAATGGAGCAGAAATGCTGGGTGCACACAGAACACAATGGAGTAGGAATGCTGGCTACGGCTTTAGTGCATAGGGAACACACTGGAACAAGAATGCTGGATGCAGTTGGGGTGCACATTGAACATGCTGAAGTAGGAATACTGGAGTACACCGGGCAGGAGCATTGGGATACACAAGTATGCAGGTCTTTTAGAGGTGCAAGGATCTCTGGAAGCCCACAAAGCAAGGAATTTTCTTAAAAAAAAACCAGGGATTTCTAGGAATACTTTGGTACAAAGAACACTTGGGATCGAAAGTGATACTCACAGGGATTGTGACTAGGAACACTAGTTGCTACTCAGTTGAGGATTTGACACAGATCTTGGCATAAATGGAGTGGCAGATTGCCAGGCAGTGAGTGGACTGGCTATGTAGCTAAATATATCAAACAGCAGGTGAGAGACAGTCACATCCACAGCCTCCAATCCCATGGAGGAGCCAGGTGGGACAGCTTTGCATGTCTGTGGAACTACAAGTAACAGAACTGTCTTTCATGTCCTTGGACACGATCAGATCATGATCATGACAGATCAGCTTTGCAGTTAATCTCTGACAGCTGAAGGAATATTTGGAGTTCTGAATAGCTGGTTTTCTAGTAGAGATCATGTGACCAAGTGCCTTGGCCTTCAGACATGTAAACTGAAGGGAATAGGGAGTAGAATATTCTTCAAAAATTATGATTCTATATTCATTACAGCCAGAATGTTAGCAGTGCTTTGTGTCAACGTAGGATCCCATTTAAGTAACATGCATAATTCTTAAAGGGTTTAAACTGAACTGGGATCCTAGACTACCTGTGTTCAGAGAAACTGGGTTGAATGATGCTGGCCATCTGACTGAGGACTTCTAGTGGCAGAAAAAGGTGTCATGTAGTGTTTCCATTGTCTTGTCTAACCCCTGTACGTAGTCCTATGTGAAGGTATGAAAATAGAATGATTGTGTAAATATTGCAGAATTTGTCTTACCTAACCCTTCAATTTTCCTTTCATATTAGTTGTGGTTAGAATGGGAAGCAGGCATTAAAATGTACTGGATGTTGAATGCTTCAAAATTATGCTTTTCAATTAGGGTTATCATCTGATGCTAATCTCCTCACGCCTAATACGGAGAGTAGTTGTGATTTAACAACTAGAACAAAGTCAACCAGTGGGAATGATGACAGCACTTCACTGGATCTTGAGTGGGAAGATGAAGAAGGTGAACTACTATTATTTAGAATATAAAATTATCCTTCTTGGCGCCTTGCAATCTGATAGATCTTTTTACTGATGCAGCCCAATAGCTGTTTAAGTAAAATCTGCTGTCCATTTTCAGATTTACTATAAGAAGCAGAGGAATAAAATTACCTGCACTCTTTCCTGTGCATTGTGATTTTATGAGATCAGGTCATGCTATTTATGGATGTGACAAAGATAGAAAAAAGGTAGCGCTCTAACCAAATAATCAATAATCACAAAAAAAACATAATCAGATAAATTATAAAGTATACATTCATTAAAGAATCATAAAGTGTATCAAAAGCCAAAAATATAATTTAATTGCAAATAAAATAACAAACTCATTTTATCAAACAAATAAATAATCCAGTATCATAATAATAAAAAAAATACTATAAAAAAGCAATAAAAAACCTCCAAAAAAAGTCCAATGATAGTGTCCTTAAGTATAAAAAATATAGGTGAAAATCTTTTTAAATTCTAATGTGCGATTTAAAGAAATAGGTGTTAACTTAAACTTCAGTGCTCCAAACTGTTAATACTTGAAATGAATGGAAGCCACCACCAGTTGAATTAAATAAACTCACCAGAGCAATTATAAACCAGCACACGCTTTCGCTCTGGAAGCAATGATCTGCAGATTGATAGCCAGCAACAGGGAGGCGATTCAATGAACATTAATATCTTCTTGACATCAAACTCGTAAAGAAAGAGAGAGGGAACTAATCGTGTAAAATCGTACGACAATTTTATTCATAAAAACAGTTCATAAATACTCACATTCCGTAGTGTCAAAGCCGACACTAGCTTGAACAGCGTATACAGCACAAATTAAAAAAAATTAAAAAAAGCCTGCTTTGATGTCAGCTGACGCAGACGGCTCAGTGGGCGTGGTGACATCACTCCAAGGCTCCATTGTGGATTTCATTTAAAACAGCCTTTACTTGTGCAGATTTTCCTCATATGCTAACTTCAAATTGGACAGATTTATCCCAGGCTTACTTTAAAGCTGAATTCCAGATAGATATACAGTGGGTATAGAAAAAAATCACCCCTCTTAAAATAAGTTGTTTTGCATCCTGAAATGAAGACACACAGTTTTTGTTTCATATATCTGTATTTAACCAGTGCAACTTAGAATATCCAAGTGAAAGATGTAACACCAACATGTCAGAAAAAAAAAAAAAACTTCAAAGACAGAATCACATAGTTGGAAAAAAGGATCACCCCTTGTGTCAGTATTTTGTTGAACCACCTTTTGCTTTAATTCCAGCCTTTAGTCTGTTGGGATATGTCTTTACTAACTTCGCACATCTAGACTTTACAATATTTGCCCACTGTTCTTTGCAGAACTGCCCAAGTTCAGTGAAATTTGATAGTGACCATTTTGCAGACTGCAGTCTTCAAGTCATTCTCAGATTTTCAATGGGGTTTAAGTCTGGGTTCTGACTAGGCCAAGTAAGGACATTCACCTTTTTTTTCTCCTTCAACCACTGTGTGGTTAAATTTAAGTAAGGAAAAAAAAAAATTTTTTTATTGCAAAAAAAAAAAGTTACACCCAGACACATAACATGAACTCCCCCCCCCCCCCCCCCCAAAAAAAAAAAGAAATGTGGAGGCCCCCCCACATATACGCACGTATGAATGTAAAAGCACATGTCAGGGCGCTTACACATGAAAACGTTCATTACGATACATATCACCACACGCCGAAGTGAGAGCAATAATTCTCTAAACTGATTACCTATAAGGGGCTTTTGAAGCATCACCTGTAGAAAATATAGGGTACTGAAGTTTGTCACCATTCATAGGTGCACACAAATTTAATGTTTGGTATCAATTTACTCGGCGCAACCTTGTTTTTTACCAAAAATTTGGGTGATTTATTGTTTGTTTGCCCTAAAATTCACTTTAGTGTGGTTTTTTTTTTTTTTTTTTTTTACTGACATTTTACATTTCCTAGACCTTTTGCGATAATATTGTGTGACCTAAAAAATTGGAACTACCACTATTTTATTCTCTAGGACGTCTGCTTTCAGTAGTTAGTTGTGTTGTAGTGGGAGTGCATACTGAAAGGAGGAGAAAGCAGAGTAATAGATGAGCTCATTAGTTTGCTGCTTCTCCTTTCACTGTCCACTCACAGGTTGGGGGTTGGGAGGAGACCTAGAAGTATTACTAAACTGCAATATTATCTTTTATCTGCCAGAATGGACTGTGCTTTGTATCAGAGCTGTACAAATCTGAAAACTGGACAGACAGAAATACTGATCTCATAAATGTATTTACTGTATATACTGTAGCTGTTTGCTTGGAGTTCAGCTTCAAATGACATGATGCCTGGAGTAGATATGGGTATGAAATAAAGAACTTAGGGCAAACCATAAAGAGAGGCTATATTTTTTCCTTTTAATGTGTTGTGGAATATGTTGGCGCTATATAATCGCTATGAAATTAAACATTATTGCTGACCTGAACTATGAATGAAAAGAATGAGGAACAGACCCCCTGTCACATTTTTTTTTTTGTTTTGTTTTCAACACACAGAAAAAAAATGCATATATTCATGACTTGCCTATTAAGCCTTTTTTTTTTTTTAATTTTCTTTATTTCTACTCATTTAGGAATGAACAGACTAGTTCCAATGCGAGAACGCTCAAAGACTGAAGAGGATATCCTCCGAGCAGCCTTAAAATGCGGTGGCAAAAAGCCTGAAAGCCACAGAGCCTCTGCCTCGGATGACTCAAATGGCCTTGAATGGGAGAACGATTTTGTGAGTGCTGAGATGGATGATAATGGGAACTCGGAGTATGCTGGGTTTGTAAACCCTGTCACTGAACTGTCTGCAGAGCCACAGGACAGATAGAAACTGCTTTGGACCAAGAATTGTTTTGATTACCAAACTAAAGAAAGCTTTCTGCTCTCCCACCTGGGTGTAATGAATGTACATATTTTTCAAAACCTTTTTTAGTTTTAAAAAAAAAAAAAAGCATCAAGGAACTAGAAATGAAAAACTGGACAAAATAAGTGCAATTCTTATTGTTTTTCCTTTATTTCCCAGAGTTTTTCTTAAGGATAAATCGTGGGTTGGGGGGTAATTTAGAATATTTCACAGTCGTCTACGAACACCAATAAATTATATGCACTATTTGAAGACTTGCACTTGTCTCCTCTGGACCAGATTGTTTTACTTCCATGTTTTATGCAGATAGCACTCGTTGAATGTAAATGTGAAAGAAAATGTTCGTGTGCTAAGCCTGGAGTTCAGCAGAACAAAGTTGTTTAAAATTATGGTAATATGGTGTTTGTCCTTTTCTTTGTACATTGCACTGAAGAATACATTACCATGGATGATAGTGTAATCTCTAACACAGGACAAATGTACGTGGCCATGCCTTTACATACACAAAGGAGTTGGTGTTTTTTGTAATAACTATATCTGACAATACAAACCACTTTTAGTATTATCAAATGCAAGGTCTAACATGTATTGTAATGCATCTCATGTAGCACCTCAACATTCTGAAAAGTGCTCATCAGTGCATGTTGATGTGCACAATTGCACTTTTATGTGTACTGATATGCATTTGTCATTAGAACATTAGCTGACGGTTTTATTTTTGGTAAAATACGAGTGTGAATGCCGTCATAGTATTGCCCCATATGCTTGATAGCATAAAAATTTGTTGCAATATTCAATGACAGTGTGTGATCTTGTTTATACCGTACATACAAATCCGAGTTATTAAAGCAGAGCTCCACCAAAAAGGGGAAGTTCCGCTTTAAAGCCTCGTCCCCCCGCTCACCATTAAGGATTTGCACCTTTGGGGAATGGGGAAGTGGGTACCCAGTTTTGATAGGTACCCTCTCCCACTTCCACTGCGATTGCCTAGGCGAGTGGAAGTTCTCCTCCCCCCTCGCAGTCTTCTGGGACATGTGACCGGTCCCAGAGGACTGCAGGACCATTCACAATGCACAGCTCCACTCGCGCATGCGCAGTGGGCACCTGGCTGTGAAGCCACAAACTGTCACAGCCAGGTGCCCACACCTGCTGACGTCCGAGACAGAGGATGGCCGGTGAACCAGGCTGCAGTGAGGACACCATTGGATCCGAGGACAGGTAAGTGGCTGTTTTTTTTAAAAGCAGCTACAGCTTTTGTAGCTGCTGACTTTTTTATTTTTTTTTTTTTTTTCACCAGAGACTGGAGCCCCACTTTAATTACAGTGTTCTGCTCACTGGCAGTCATCATAGGTTTCCCTTGATATGCATTGTTGACTAGATGGTGTACATAAAGTCTGCCACCTCCATAATATGCAGCACAGGCAGGGTACATTTTACATAAACATACTTTAAACCTTACTCACAATGGCACTTTCAAGCCTGTGTTTATATGGAGGACTTTTCTAAACACATCTAAATGCATGTAATGAGTTTTCAACAATGTTTTGTATTGTGCTTTTGATGAATTATGAATTAGCAATAATTCATGCAGCGGTACCTCCAAAAATATGTTCTGCCAGGTAACACCTGGACAATTAATTTAGTCAGTTAAAGGTACTTGCAAATATAGCAATAATTTAACTGACTTAATTAATAATTGAGTAATTTACAGCCAACCAAAATCTTTTAAAAAACACAGATTAGATCAGTGGAAAATATGGACTACGGGTTATGAAATAAAGTATTGTTTATTTACAATAAGTCACAAACAAACACATAATGTAATAGTTCGACTGTGAGGCACATTGACACCCAGATAATTTGCATAAACCTTACCAACTTTTTCTGCAGCAATAGTTTACATGTGTGTATATATAGGATGACTAAAAATCAATAAGTACAGTATTTTCTGTCGTATAGGACTACTTTTTAAACTTAAAAATATACCCCAAAAATTGGGGGTCGTCTTATACGCAGGGTATAAAATGTGAACCTTGAGTTTTTTTGGGTCAAGCTGGCTGGATGTGTGGTAATACTGTACATACAGTATACCGTGCTGAGCCAAGCTGGCTCAAAACAAATGTCCCTATGACAGATTAATCTGTCAGCCCGCTGGATGTGCGGTATATACAGTATACTGCGCTGAGCCAAGCGGTTTCAAAAAGTACCGGTACGTCCCTACTGTAATCAGCCCGCTGGATGCGTGTATGTACGGTAGCTGTGGCTACATACAGTATACACTGGGCCAATCACGGCGAGTGATGTATTCTACTAATGAATACAAAGCCTGCTCGGATTGGCTGAGTCAGAGAGGTGGGCTGATGATGTCACAACCTCAGCCAATCCGAGCAGGCTTTGTATTCATTAGTAGAATACATCGCTCGCCGTGATTGGCCCAGCCTATACTGTATGTAGCGTCAGCTACTGTACATACACGCATCCAGCGGGATGATTACAGTAGGGACGTACCGTTACATTTTGAAACAGCTTGGCTCAGTATACTGTATATACCGCACATCCAGCGGGCTGACAGATTAATCTGTCATAGGGACATTTGTTTTGAGCCAGCTTGGCTCAGCGCGGTATACTGTATGTACATTACTGCACATCCAGCGGGCTGTATATATATTGTATACTGTATGTAGCCGAAGCTACCGTATTACCGCACATCCAGCGGTAACCATCTGATTTGGAATTTGATCCATATGATGACTGTCTTACAAATGTATCACAAGATGTCATTCATGAACTTATGATGTCAGAGGATGAACATGAGGATTTTAAGTACCGGTAAGTTATAACCATTTCAATTAAAAAATCTGATGTTTTTAAATGATGTTGCCTCGGAAGGGGGGTAGTCATATATGCTGAGTATAGCCCAAAACCTATGTTTTAACTGGAAAAATTAGGGGATCGTCTTATACACCCAGTTGCCTTATACACCAGAAAATACGGTAATTTGTCCCCATAGACAAAATAACCATTAATATCTAACTATCAGACAATAGTCTGTGTTTTATGGAATTTCAGCGGTTTATTCCCCTGCAGAAGGAATAAGCGTCAAAATACACAAAACTGTATGCCAATATAGCCCAAGAACAAGATAAGAATCATCTTAATACTAAAATGAAACTATATAAAGGTGGGTGGTTATTTTATCGTAGGGAGACAATTAAATTACCACAAAACGACAAAAATGTATTAATATGGTAAACCAGAATTGCCCAAATAGAGATTATTATAAATTACCCTCCAATTCTCAGGTAAAATAAAAGATGGCTACTGACTGATGGGTGGAATCGAGCTCTCACAAAATGGCATCTGGACAGGTTGGAGTTGTGTGCAAAATGGATAGTCAGATGGAAGGTTGTGTGTGTTCTGATGTAATGATGATACTATGAAGATGTCCTCTGATGATATGAGTGTCCTCTGAATGTGTTGCCATAAATGTGTTCCAAGTGTGATCCTGTGAATGTGTATCCTGTCTACCTGACTTTCCTTTTTATCTCCTGGCACACAATACATTCATAAAAATTTTAATATACCTGCCTAGGAGGTAGCTCGGTAGGTGTTATCTACTCTTCATTGGTGACTTTGTCTCAGACTCCACCCATTGTTTATTTTTTAGTATTTTTACCATTTTGCCACTGAGTGTCACTCTAAGATAAGTCCTGACTATTTAGTTTCCTTGTACTTGAAGTAACTCATTTGTTATAGGGAAAGATTAATATTTCACTATAACGAACTGGACTTTGTGGAAACAGTATAAATGTCTTGGATGGTAAATCATGTAAAATCTTAACTAAAAAGATTTGTAGTGTGTGTATGTATGTATGTATGTATGTATGTATATATATATATATATATATATATAAAAAGTTTTTTTTTTATTAAAACTATTCTTTGTGCAAATTTTGGACAGAAAAAAACTATATATGTAGATATACATATATCCATATCTCCATATAAACCTAATAATTCATCTACTTCACTACTGATTGGTTAGAGATATGGCATCACACATACACTATTTCTGCAATAAGATAAATTTCGACACAAAATCTAATAGGAATACACATAACAGCCGGTGAGAGTATTCAGTATTCCTTTCTTACAATGGTATCTTGTGTTTCAATAAACTCTTTTTTATAGATACATTGCGGCTTTGTAATATAATTTTAAAATCATATATTTCTAAATATGTCAGTGATATTTATAAAAGTTTGATCCAGAAAATGTGATTTAGTCATTTGGATTTTTTTAATCACTTGGCCTCCTGAGGATTTACCCCCCTTCCTGACCAGGCCGTTTTTTGCGTTGCGGCATTGCATTACTTTAAATAATAATTGCGTGGTCAACGCTGCACCCAAATGAAATTTACATCCTTTTTTCACACAAATTGAGCTTTTTTTCGGTGGTATTTGATCACCTGTGTGTTTTTTAATTTTTTGTGCTATAAGCAAAAAAAAAAACTTGACCGTTTTGAGAAAAAAAAAAAAACAATATATTGGACTTTTTGCTATTAAACATGTCAAGTAAAAAAAATTTAAAAAATCAAATTTCATCATAAATTTAGGCCAAAATTTATTCTGCTACGTCTTTGCTAAGAAAAATCCCAATATGTGTAAATTAATTGGTTTACGTGAACGTTATAGCGTTTACAAATGGCGGTATATGTACTGGAATTTTTTTTTTTTAAATATTTTTACTAGTAATGTTGGCAATCAACGACATATAGCAGGACTGCGGCGGGCATTCTGACACGGGGTGGGGGGGGGGGACTGACTTTGTGTCACTGACATCCCCAGTGACCAATACAGTGAGTAAAAAAAAAAAAAAAAAAAGCACAGACACTGTACTAATGGCACTGGGCAGGAAAGGGTTAACATGAGGGGCGATCAAAGGGTTAACTGTGTGCTGTTTTA